AAATTCACACAGGGAGAAGCAGCACAAAGATGCTGCAATCACATAAACCTTGTCTCTTTGAAAAGTTAAGTTTTTCTACAAATATGCTGACCTTCCTTTGCCATTGTAATCTGGTTCCTGTGGAGGCAGGATGAAGAGATAATTTCACCTAATCAGGAAAGCAATCTGTTCTGATTTTCTTGAAGCTGGGACATGAAATGAGGGGCCCAAGGGCTAAAGTATTTCAAGGTACTATGCAAAGAAATGAAGTCTGAAAGCAGTGCCATGAAGTTGGAAGGCTGCATTGGAAATCTGAGGTTAGACAATCTCGGGCATGAATGCAATGAAAATCCTTCTCCTGGTGTTCTTCTGTTTACATGACCATGACCAGTCACCGTGTTTGAGGCTTTACACCCTGAGGCTGGAGAGAAAGCCCTGACCTGAGAGGACACAGCAGTTCCTAGCATATGTCTGGGGCGAAGGCAGCATGTACAGATCTTTCTCACAGCCCAGCTGTCCTGAGCAGACACAGCCATCAACAAAGCCATTTCTGAAGCAGTACATCTTCTCTTCTCATAGAATCATTTAGGTTGGTTGGAAAAGACCCTTAAGATCGTCGAGTCCAACTATTAACCTAATACTGCCAAGTCCACCACTAAACTGTATCCCTAAGTGCCACAATCATCTCTTCCTACCATACTCCCTTCTTCACTTGACACCAACCACTCCCCAGTTCCCACTTAAGATGTGGAAAAGGTGTCTCATTTATCATTTCAAAATTTTAAACTAAACTGGCATGAATAAGGCAATCAAGGAACATTAGCCACGGCATGAGCTTCCACCTTCTATGAACCACTCACATCAGTATCAAAGCTGCACTCTTTAGTACCTCTGAATACAGCACTAGAGGGCTGTCTCTCCATTTGACCCAGGGTTCATGTTTTGTTTTCTGTGGACTTTCCTCCTAAGCCTTTCCAAAACATGGTTCTACAAACCAGACTGTCCTACATAATGGTTTAGAGGCATTGCTTTAAACCATTAAGAAACAGAGCACAATCTTTATAATTGATTACTAGATTGTCATTATTAATATTCCTCAAACCAGCCGTCATACCAGTACACAGGTGTACTGCAGTTCTGAAAAGCAGTAATAACAGCAAAGCGTTCGCTAATTTTGAGTGAACACACAGCAGTGGATTTAAGCTTTGTAGGAGTCTACTATTGCTGGAGCATCTTTGCATGCAGCAAACATGTTTAGGTTTAAAAAAAAAAATAAAAGTCCTTGGCACTTCTGAAGAAGAGCTTCCAAAAATGAGAGCATAGCTGTCTGTATCATCTATATTTGGACTATAAAAGTAGCAATGGAAAAATATTTTGCCACTCACATGGGCAGAGCAATATATACCACCACTAACATGGCAGTTGTACGGATTTAGGACTGTTTGTTTTCTTTTACTTGAAAAGTACAAACAGCACTGGCTCCACAAGAGTGTTGTGTTGTTTTGGTTCCCCCCCCCCCCCCTACACAGACACACTTATCTTCTGATTACAAACACAATATGCCCAAACGTTTAGCATCTTCCCCACCACCACCATCTTTAGCAGAGGTCAGGCCGTATAATCCCAGTGAGCACAACCCACCATTAAATACCTCTCTCTAACAGCCACATTTTCTGCCTGTTTAACACTCAGCTTCAGGAACAGACAAGGCAACAGCTGTCTTTAAGAAGGTGCTTTAAAAGCCTATGAAAAATTTCCAACCAACACGAAGCAGCATTTTGGATACTCAACAAAATAAAAATAAAAAAATAAAAAAAGGCTTGAAGAAGGCTCAAGGTAGGCTTGATGAGAAACGGGATGGAGTGTCTGCTAGAGAACAGGGGCTGTGCCAAAACCATCCCTTCCCAAGCATTTGTCCCAACACTTGTGTCTCAGTTTCCCCATCTCTAAAGCCAGGATAAGCCATACTTTACAAGGCAGACTGAGACACTCACAAAGGTTGCTATTTAATTACTACCCACTCTGAGAACAGCCTAGACATTGATCACCAGTGGCAACCTCTCCTAATTCACCTATGCACATGAACCTGCACCAGCATTTGTACAGATAAACTTTCAAGAACATCCTGAAATAATTATTCCCAGATTAAGGCTTTTTTTTTTTTTTTTCAGAACTTGGATGATAAGCAGACTAACTTAAAAAAAAAACCACCTCACAATGTTTTTTTCTTATACACAAGTTTAAAAGGTAAGAATCAATAACTCTTTCAGTCACCTTTCAATTAATTTTTCATTTATTTCAAGCGTCTGAGCTCAGACTGCTTAACTATAATAGCTGTCTGTCTCATGCCTCTGAGCCTAGATACTGTAACACCCTTTAAATCTTTTCTAAAGAAGAAGGAGGGGAAGAGCAGGCACCACTGCCAGCAGCAGAAGTAGCTACTGTATAAACAGGGATTCAATACCCTGCTGGTAGTGTTATCAACATTCCATAAACTGGTACCAAGCTTTAAATAAAATGGCACTTTAACATGGTGGGCGATGCTTATACCACGATTTAGTTAAATTATATTTCATCCAAATCAGTTTC